TTAGAAAATCATCTGTGTCATGTGATGCAGGAAATTCTGTGGCTGATATATATACTACACTTTTCCCATAAATAGAAGTGAGGGAATTGTTGTTCTAAAACTTGAATGTGTAGCTAATTTGAGAGTGATCTCACAGAGGGCTGTTGCGGAGTTCCTATTTGTTATTATTTGGTGATGAAGCATAGCTTGTACATCTGAAACTCTGTCTATTCATTCCACTTTTAGACTTGCAGCACCAGATGCCATACCAATTCACAACAGAAGATGATTCAAGCAGAGAATTCTCTCTATTTTGAGGATTTGCTAAGGCTTCCTCAGCCTTTATAATTTTGTTCATTAATTCTTTAACTGCTGTCATAAATCTTGTATTTTGATAACTCACTCATTAGCCCAGACAAGTGACATGCATCCTTTGGTAGAACTCAGGACCCATCTTCTAAATAACAGACAGAAAGCAACAAAGTATCTGGCTTCTTTCCTGGAAATTTAAGGCAATACATCCATACTTTGCTTTTCACTGCCCAGAACAACAACAAAAAAGTTTGATGCCTGGATCTCCTAAGCTTAGTTCTTTTTTTTCCCTTTCATTTCAGCTAATGAGAGTTACTGTTTTTCCAGTGAATACAGAATCATTAATCATACATTGTATCTTCAAACAAAATCCACAGAGGCTTTTCTTATTCTAAAGGAAGCCCCTCCCTCCTCCTCTGAAGTCCCGTATTTCACAAAAGGTTTCCCACTACTCAGAGACTAACTTGTGACTGGAAAACTGTTTCTTCAAAGGCCATGGACTCAACAAAATAAATAATGAGACTTCCACCAGCTGTTTAAGTTAAAAGTGATGTAACTGTTGAGATTTGTGCTTTCGTACACACAAACAAGATAGCAATGGTCAGGAAGGAATTTTTCCTAAGTACCAAATTATTTGACGTACTTAAATAAGAATTTTTAGTCAAGAAAAGACATACTTTGCAATGAGAATTTCAGCAGCAAAACTGCACAATCCTTTTGTGGAATCTTGGCATTACAATGAGCTTATTTTTCTCATATCTATTCAGAGAGTAAACAAAACTAGGATTCCGTAAGTCCTTACATCCCTGAAAATCTTCCTAAATCTCAAAGTCATTGTGCAAAAGGGCTGATTTAAAAGGGGCATACAATGAGCAAGGCCTTCACTGTCAGTGAACAAGTTATTTGTGCACTGTCAGTTATATGCTACTGTCAGATTTTTCATTCAGTGTGAAAAGAGCATGATTTCATTTGGACAGCTGGACTAGGCCACAGCCATAATATTTTTTTCCACTGATGTTAATGTATGTAGCTAAATGATTGCTATAGCACAAAAATTTCTAATTATGACGAGGCTTAGAATGAAATTATATGAGTTATTCCCCAAAAAGTGCTGAGGGTGGCTTTTGAGGGTTTACAAAAAGGTATCAAGTGATGTTGATGTGCACACATCACAGTGATCCAGTTGGAAATCCAAGTCTTGATAATAAAAGTCCATCATTTACACTTTTAGGTCAAGTGCAAGTACTGCTGAAAAAAGTGGTGAACAATCTGTTTTCTCAATAGACATTATATGACCCTCCTGCCTTTTTAAGTCTTCTTCTGTGTCTCAGATTGTATGATTGACAAAACAATGACAGCTGCATTCTTTCTAATTTCTTACCGGAATGCAGCTAACGCTATACAGAAAGACAAACAGCCAGGGTTGAGGGGAGCTGGGAAGGGAGAAAGTTTGCATGGGTCAGGAAAACAAGCAGTGCAAAAGCTTCCTGAAAACATCTAACTAAAATATAATTACTAAAACAGCTTTGAAAGGAGGGAGTTAAATTACTGAGTGTGGCTATGATCGTTCTCCTAGTTTAAATTATTCCAGCATAAATGAAATGAAATAGGACCTGGACTCTGGTAATTAACTACCCCACTCACAGGTGATCACAATATGTGCCATGTAAGATCCTTGCAAAAGCAAAATTTATACACCTACAAATGACATGTGTGCATATTAAAACCATTTTTGCAGTTTACAAGAATAGCAAAGTCCTTTGATAGCTAACCAAGAAAATTATAGTGGGGGGTGGGGGCGTGGGGGAGGAAATTCTGCATTCATTTAGAAGTAATGATTTAGACAACATTTCCCTTGAATTAGTTCATTTTAAAAGAGAACAAAGGGTTTGTCCTGCTGGGTAGCTTTTCAGCAGGGATGCCCTGCCTGCCTTACTTCAGATCTGCAACATTATGTGCTTTCAATTAGTGGTAGCACTTGCAAAACTAGTAACACAGAACTTTTGGCATGAAATCTGACTCCAAGGCAGTGAAGGGTACTTAAGATCTACTCGGGGATGGGTGGAGGAATGCAGCACATTTGAAACAGTGTTGATCATTTGTCATAATGGTGTCACTCCTAAGAACCTCACTGCATTTTCATACGCTTGGCTTTTAATTTCTTCTTTGCTTCCCTGTTTAGAACTTACTTTCCATTTACCTAGAGTCCCTATTTTCTATCTCTTTTGTCACCTGGCTACTTATTAAGCCTACAGTTAAGTTTTCTTCAGGCTTTTAGGGCAGCCAAGTGTCCTAGCTAAACATGCTCAAAATACTGCAGTACTTAAAATGCTTAACATTTAGAGTCCTCTTCATCTTCGAAGTCCTTTGCAAACACTAGTTACAACAGAACAATCCAGCATTGTCAGGGACTGAATCGTTCAGTCCATTGTCCCCTTAATGTTATGAAGCAATAATTAAAATACCCTTCTAAGGCAAATGTTAGTTCCTTTAACTTTTCAGTCAGGAAAAGCTGACTTCTGTTGCTATTCCACATCAATGTAAGTGCCTCTTGTAATACGTCTGCTGGCAGAAAAAAGCCTGTGCATGTTTCAATGAAGTTCCCCAGTCCTACTTATCCTAGATATCTTGATAGGCAGGTGACATTTTGATGAGCAAAATAACAAATGTCACTGCTGTGGTGACAGACATATACAATATTCCAAATATCCACTGAAAAAAGAAGTGTTTAATATAGGAATGAGAGAGGCAACTGCTTGACAGGATTTGAACATGCATAACTATAATATTTTTAGCAATGAAGTCAATAATTTGCCTCACTATCACATCTATCATGGTGCTAAAGTAATTTTTACCAAGACTTTCCTATATGCCACTCTAGTATGTTGATTGTCAACAGTGCCATTGAAAGGATACTACAGCAGATATGAGGACTTTTTTTTCCCAAGAGTTGCATTCCTCATCTCAGCTAAAGGACTTAGATTTGTTTGGGTGGTACTGAAGGTTGGAAAGCAGAAAGGACCTTGCACATTGTCACCAAGTTTTGTTAGCCTATTGCTGGTAATGAGACCTTATAAAAAAAATCTTGCTTTAAAATCCCCACAAATCTGACAATGTTTTGATAATTGTGGATGCTCTCCAGATGAAACAAAATTTAGGGGTTGCAAATGGAAATGGAGTGAAAGTGTGGAAAACGCCGCTCATATTGAATCCTGCAGTATTCATCTGCTGAGTTATCAGTATGTTTGATCAACAGCATTTGTTTTTATCAGTGCCTAACTCAACCTTGCTTGCACTGTCACTTAGACTCATTTTCACTCACTCTAGAAGCAGCAACCTGATCTGAGGAGCAGAGAAGGGAGCAAAAGCATGGGATGTGGTTAGATGTTCTCTTTCTCATCACTTAAAAGAAATGAGCATATGAAGAAGCAGTTTGGGCACTGCTCAAACTCATATGCAGTGTAGTTCAGTGATTTTGAGCTAGAATACCTAATTTCCCATACACTTCTTCAAAGTCTCTGCAATGGGTGCGTCTTTTTTAGGTAACAGACTGTCTTTTTGCATGACAGGTAATCCACAATGGTCCACAACCATACAAGCAGGCTTTTCCCAATTTTATTCAGACTGCTTAACAGCTTTATTGCAATTCTGGAGATAAAGACGATCACATTTCACTGACTTAAGAGAGTAGGTTTAATGCACTGTGCCTGCCATTTCCCTCCATCCTGATGGGCTTTTTGTGTGTGTGTGATTAATACGTGTATTAATGCTAATAAAACACAGAGTTTCCCAGATGTCGACATGGCCTCTTAATCCTTCCCTGTTCTGCTGGGGATAATCATTTTTACAACATGAGATCACTTGCACCAGTGAAGTGCATTTTAACACCTTTTGCTGTTATCTATATGAACTGATGATCCTAACAGAATCCTAGCAGTGCATTTAAACTTTTATTTCTTAGGTTAATCAGGCTAAAACACAGTTAACAAAGTTTTCCAAACGGGGCTTTCTTTACGTTAAAATGAAAAAATAAATAAATAGATGCTACTAGGATTGTTCGTCACCAGAAATTTTGCTCATTGAGAAAAGAAAGGCAGCAACACTATAAAAAGAAAGAGTGTTTTTGTCTAGGAGACAGCATGGCATACAAGGGGAAAAAAAAAAAAGAAATATTTTCTGAACAAAGAAGTCAGGCTAGTCCCCCTATTTTTTTGATCTTTAATCCCTTCTCTCCCAAGTAGAATGGCAAAGGAGCCCTTCTCTCTTTCTAATAAATAGCTAGCAAAGGAAGGCATTCAATGCTATGTCCCTTTGATCAGCACAAATCTGTCAGCTCCTGCAGCTTTTTTTTCTAGCTGCTCTTGTTCCTGGTTAAAAGTGGAAGTAATAACCCCTGAAAGAAATACCCTAGGTGTCCTGCAAATCATCAATCCTATTTTTTTCCTTGTTGTTTTTCAGTGGCCCACCCTCCTGGCCTGAGCAGCCTCCTTACTAACACCCCTTTTCCTCTTTCCACCCTTTTTCCAGAATACCAGTTTCATTTGATACGCAATTCAACGTGCCAGTCTGACCTACTGGGACCTCGCTGTCTGAGACTCTACCACTCTGCAGACAGGGGAAACCTTCCTTCTAGCAGTAAACAGTGTTTACTTCCATACATTTGTCTTCCTGTAACAGAATTAAAAAATACTTCATAGACACAGCAAACAGATTTTAGGAAATTACCTTTTAATAATTTATAATGCAGCCCTTACTTTAAAAGCAGCACAATGCAAACAACAAATAAAAAGCTATGAGTTGTGCTTGACCGAGTGCCTGAGATCCCGTTTTGCTCCAATCTTGAGGCTGCTGCAGTTTAGACAACATCATTGCATCTCCACAATAAACAGTTTGCAAATATTGCTGCTTTCAGTCAGGTCACTCCATGCATTTTAAAGCAGGCTCCTTGTTTACTGCTCGGGATATCTGCAATCTGCATTTCATCTCCTCACAGTGTCAGCACCTGATCCACAGTTTGCAAATATTATGCAGTGGAAATAATTCACAAAGGCAAACAATTACAATCGAGTGTCGAACATGAGCCTGGATGGTAATGGGAGAGCAGGGCAGAGGCTGTGGTGTCTGCGTGTGTGTGTGTGTGTGTGTGTGTGTATAAAGGGTTGGAGGGGGGAGGAATGGGAGAGAGAGGAAAAGCGACTGTATAAAAGATCATTATTCCTAGACAATGTCATACCCTCAGTGATGTGTAATGATATTTAAATACCTTTGCCATTTCCCCCTGGTGATGACTGCACTGGGTGCGTTCTGTGTGCCTATAGGGGTATGTTTTTCACAAATCGGGATGGAGTGAATGCCGTTCGTTGTTCTGGCTGCAAAATGTCAAACTGCAGTGGAAAGAAATACAGCATTGCAGTGGTGGTGCACTGAGGCCCCCGGTAGGAAAGCAGGAGCTATTAAGTGGAAAATTCCTGCAGAGGACGTGTTTCCATTTCTAATGCGAAGAAAGAGGGTGTTGTTTGAGGCTGGCAGGTCTGCGGGAAATACAGAAAACACAGGGAAGATGAGAAAATGACCTCATTGAACTCTGAGAACTTAAGCAAACAAACAGCTTCAGCCAACACACTACATTCTTGCAGTGATTCTGCCCAAACAACAAATTGACCTGTAAGTTATATAATCACCCACAAGCCCCCTGCCCCATGTATGTGTGAGGAGGGAGAAGGGGTCTTTCCCTGCAGGAAAAGCTGAGGAGGAGGGGGAAAAACAGTAAAACCTACAGCATTAGGAAGGGTTATATGGGGGTGAGCTGCCTGTCCCCCTACCCCACAACCTTCCCACCCCAAATGCAGTACTCACATAAGGTTCAGGTTTAATTGTGCTCTGAATACCAGCAGAATGATGGCACTAGTTGTTTGTTATAGTATGAACTATTTCAGTACAGCATAAATTTTCCATTTCAAAGGATCCTGAATGCCTGCACGGAAGGTACTAGGTTTTGTGAGCAGAGGGTGGCCTCTGTAAAAGTTGGTGGGGGTTTCAGCTTAGGGATGGTTAAAACTCCATTCTTTGACCCTAGCTGGGAAGGGGGGGGGGCTAAGGGGAGCATGTTTAGGGTCTTGGTTTCCCCTATAGAGGCCCCCTGCTGTGTTGACTTGGACAGCCCGAGTTACCATTTTATATCAACTGAACAAATCCTAGTGTAAAAATGCAGGGGCTGACCAAAGTTGTTGTACATAGCTATGGCCTGGCAGAAAAGGAAAATGTATGCCAGCAACCGCAGGCTCTGCCTGTGCTGAAAGGTTTGATACTTTTTATGAATGCTTGCTTCAGTGTATTTCCAATAGCTAATTAATTGAGCAAGGTAGATGGAAAGCTATTAATTGAAAGAACAACAGATAAACAACAGTTCATATTTTACAATGATATTTCTTACAAATCAGAAAAGGGTTTTTCTCTTAACTTACAGTGTATTTGTTGTGGAGCATGTTCTCTGCTACCCTGTAATTCCAGTGTGAGCTTTTAATGGATAGAGTGTTTTTTTTTTCTTGTTCACACTGTTAATGTCCTGTTGTCTCCCAGTTGCAGCTGATTTATGCACAACCAAAACTTGCTTTAGCATCCAGCATTCTGCATGGACTTTGCCTGTGACAGGCATGTTAGCTTCGACAGGTCATTGCAACTTTTAAGACTGCGTTGTGCTTTAAGGACAGGTATAAGTGTAAGCAGATAATCTGATGCATAGGAATGGCCAAGGTTCACATAGTCACCAACTGCAGAAGTTCAGGTTTTATGTAAGCTGCTGTTTATATGTAGTGGTTTGATCCACTCTGGATTAGGGACCACTAGCCATGAATGCCTTGAGGTATAATTCAGAAACCCAGCAGCCGTAAGGAGTTGACTAGATTCAGTGCTCAGCTGCCCTCGCCAAAACATTTCAGAGCAAGCTAAAGTGAACTAAAGATGGGTGATGAGGAGAAAACAAGACTATCCCAAAACTGATCCAAAAATGCAACCCTTGCTTCTTGCAGGGTTTGCAAACTGTGATTAAATTACTATTTCTTTTTCTTTCCAGTTTGAGATTTTCCTGAATATCTGGAACACAAGGCAAAAAAAAAGACAGAATTACATACTACAAAAAACTGTACATGCAAGACTTTCAGCATTATTGTGTAGGTATAGTTTATATTATTTGGACAAAGATTGAGAAATCTAGCTAAAGATTGGGTCTTGTGGGTAAATCAAACTGAAACTGTCTCATAGCTGTTAAGTATTGCTTTTCAAGGCTCCACTTGCCACTGATTTCAGGTATGGAGGAGATATTTTTGTAGTAATCTGATCTGTGTAGCTAAGATCTGAAAACCAGTCTGGCCAGAATCCAGCGCCATTTCAGTTTAACCCTAAATGCCTGCACCCTCTGCAGGACAATGCAAAAAGACATTCAAGAGCTCCACAGCGTTGTGTTATTCCCTTTCTGGGAATGTTTAACCAGGGCAAACTATATAGTGCAGCATTTCTGCATGGTGCCATGGATTCTGTTTCTCTTTTCCTTGTGCTGTGTAACTAAGGGGCACTGTAAGGGGTGCATAACTTACAGACGTGAACAGCTTTCTTCTCCACACTCTGACAGGAAATAAAAGGCTCCCAAAAATCTCAAGAGAAAAACAAACTTTCAGAATGACAAAAAGAAGCACTGCCAAACCAAAAGTTTCCTGCACCTAATAAAAGGAAAAAGGGAGGCTTTTGCTCATCTTTACCTTGTGGCTGGAAATGGCAAGAAAAAGAAAGACCTAAGGAGTACCTTGTTTATCATTAGGGCTCTGCAGTTTAGCACCCATTGCAGGATTAACTCTTCTGAGGAGTGCAGGCCTTTGGTTACACTTGCCCTCTGCTTTTTATAGGTTCTTTGTCTTTTCACAGTGGAGTTGGGTCATATCAGAGATTCTGGTTTGCATTTAGTTTAGAGGACTTTATATATCTGAAGAGATCTGAGAGACAATTTTAAATGAAAACTTAGATAAATTTGCATGATGAAATACAAACCTGAGCCAAGGAAACTGCAGGCAAGCCACGTTCAGCTCCTGTCAATGCACCTCAGTCCAGCCCTACCTTACACATTAAGAAGTGTGCAGAAATGTGTGGAGGAGTGCAGGAGTGTCATGAAGCACAAAAATAGGTAATAGAATAAATCAATAAATTAATGCTTTAAGAATTGCCCTTCTTTGTATCACATCATCAAAAGATATATAGTAAAAGAGACACAGAAATCATTGATCAAGATTTGTCTTTTATTTCTTTTTGTTTTATTTAAAATAATCACATTAATCACAGTTGGGAGATGTGAGCTCTCAGTATGCCCAAGCTAGATCCAGCACTGTCCTCTTGTTCTGGTCATAATGGAAACAGGACACTTGGCCTCTGATTACTGATGGAAGTACTGAATGCCAAGGATTGTACTATCACTGGTCATATGGGTCTGGTTTCCTACCTTCTATGAGTCTAAGGGCTTGAAAGAAGTTTTGAAATCATTGTCTGTAGGAAACCTCAGTGTGAATCAGTCTCCCTCCTTGTTTGGCAGGTCATATGCCTCCCAGTTTGGAGAACTGGAGGATGAGGACCCCAGGACATGCTGAAGAGTAAGTTTGCTGTTTTATCAAGATGCAGGAAGAAAGCCTGTAGGTCAGTATTTTCATACTGAGGCAGGAACAAAAAAGAAAACTTCACAGTAGACTGTATTCATAAGGCTTTCATGGATAGCATGTATAATCTACCCCAGCACTGGCAAGATGGAGACATTTTCTATTTATCTCTCTTGGGAGCCATAGATGTGGGTTCTGCCTAGGAGCCATAGAAGGCAACATAAATCATCAGGTGTTTAGAAACCATGTCTTGGGAAAGCACTGGGCTTTCAAGTGCTTGAGGGGCATCTGCAAAAGTTATCTGTGATTTCCATGTCCACTGGAACAAGAATTGGCTCAAATGTCGTTAATACAGAATTATCTTGGACCGTATTAAAAACGTTATGTTGAGTGATGGGAGGAAGTGCAAGTACAAAATGGAAAGCATTCCCCTGAATGCAGATCCTTCCACATGCCAGAAGAACTACACAAATCATTCGAAGTGTGATTCAGTTTTTACTTGGATAAAAGTTTGACTCAACATGGTGTTGAGTGCTCCTCGGGTGGTTTTGACTCAACTGGGTACTGGCAGCTGCTCATTAAAAAAACATGGTGATAGAATAGGTGCAGTGTTTGAGAGTGATAGCATAATGGAAGGCTTTGAGAGGGTTTGGATCTTCTTGTTGCTCCCAACTTCTTGAAAGATCTGTCACAACTGGCTTCTACAGGTATATAGAGATATGTATTTTCTTTGTATCAATTGATCTGGCAATGAGGAGCACTTGATTAGACTTTCTGCAGGCTGATCTGTTTGCAGTGCAAGAGCCTAGCCATTAAGATGGAAACAAAGCTGAAATTTGCCTTCTCTGTTGAAAGTTTCAACAGAGCTTTATCCAGTTTTGCACCTGTGAAGCTCAGTTAAATCGCATGTGAGGCAAGACAATACAGATGCTAAAAATCTGAGGAAGGATCAATCAACCTGATGATTTCTCATACCTATGTCTCAAGGAGAAGTCCTTGGAGATCGTTAATTTCTATAATGTGTATTACTAAAAGAAGTCTATGGGGCTTGGGGAGAAGCTGTAAGGGAGAATTTTAATATACTCCCTTTTCTGCTTTTGGTTATGATTCACATAAGTAATGAGTTGACCTAGGTTCAGCAGTAGCAGTCATTTTTCTCAGTCTTGGTGGCTGGTGCAGTGCTGTGTTTTTGACTTTCAGCCTGGGAACAGCGTTGACACCACCAATGTTTTTAATTGTCGCTAAGTAACATTTACTCTGACCAAGGACTTCATGAGTCTCATGCTCTGCCAGGGAGGAGGAAAGCCGGGAGGAAGCAGAGACAGGACACCTGACCCAAACTAGCCAAATAGGTGTTCCACACCACAGCATGTCATGGCCAGCATATAACCTGGGGGCAATGACCCAGAAGGGTTAGATCACTGCTCATGTTGGGCTGTGTATTGGTCGGTGGGTGGTGAGCGGTTGTATTCTCTTCCCTTGTTATTTCCCCTATCATTATTATTATTGGTGGTAGCAGTAGTGATTTGTGTTGAAGCTTTGTTACTGGACTGTTCTCAACCCATGGGAGTTACATTCTTTCAGTTCTCCTCCCCATCCCTCTGGGAATGGAGGGAGGAAGCGGGGAGTATGAGTGAGCAGACGCATGGATCTGGTTTGCTGGCTGGGCTTAAACCATGGCAGTTCTTTTTGGTGCACAACGGGGGCCGCGAAGGGTTGAGATAACCACAGATCTGAACAGAGTGTGTCTAATCGTATTTGTGACAAGCATTTATTGTTTCGAATTAATAGTCACTTGTCACAATGCTGATTTATTGGCTCTTAAAATTATTGCTCTTGATCTCCAAGTTTCGGCATGTAACCTTACTTACAGCCGTTATTTGCTGTGTTAGTGTTTATCTGCTGGGCAGCCTGGCCTAAGGTTCTTGTTTCACTGTACTTTATGGTAATGACTTGCAATACAATAGACTCAGTGATCATGAAACTGATCTCACTTGCATTTCCAGTGTGGTCATCACATCAGTGTGGTGCTACTCAAACCCCAAGCACATTGGCTGCACCAGCCCCAACAACAGATACTGCAGCCATTTCAACTACAGTGATAATCATTGCAGCTAAGCCAGAGGAGCAATTTATGCCTATATCAGTTGCCCCTGTAAGCAAAACCAAAAGAAAGGCACAAAAAGCAGCCCACATAGTGAAGAAAGATGAAGAAACAATGCACTTATTGCCTGAGACAGCATCTGATCAGGAGTTATTATGTGAATCAGAGGAAGAAGAGGTGACTTCTCAACCGTGGACCTCAACCGAGGTATGGAATATGCAAAAAAATTTACCTGTTAATCATTGGAGCACGTCATCACCTGGTTGCTCTGATGCTGGGATAATGGTGTTGATGGTCACGAACTAGAAGGTTGAGAAGCCAAGAAGATGAGATCACTTGCTAGGGAAGGGTGAATTGACAAAGCAATTGCAAAACAGAAACAGTCCCTCAACATTTGTATGCGGCTCTTGGCAGCTGTGAATGAAAGGTTTCTATACAAGGACGATGTTATGAGTCGTTCGGCCAAGTGGACTACTCTAGAGAAAGGCATCCAGTCTCTGAGGGAATGAGCCGTTGTAGAGATGATCTACTGCAGGCCGGATGCTGGGAATGCACCCATAGATCCAGATGAAGTCAAATGTACACGACCCATGTGGCAGAAATTTACATGGAATGCACCGTCATCATATGCCCACTCATTGGTAGCCATAACCTGGAATGACATAGTACCACCAACACTGGACGAAATGATTCATCAGCTCTGAGAGTTCAAAGGCAATCTCATCCCTTCCATCATTTCAGCTGTAGAAAAACTGTCTCAGAAGTTCTAACAATTGAGAGATGATCTATCCGGCTCCCCACATGTACCAACCCATGTCTCAGCTATTAACAAAAGGCATCCTACTGCTCGAGAGAGAAGATACAGGATGTATACGCTACGTACCACCCTATGGTTTTCCCTGAGGGATCACGAAGAAGACATGAGGAAGTGGGATGGAAAACCTACCTCAGCTCTGGAGGAACGGGTGTGTGAATTGAAGAGTAGAACAAAGGTCAAGGATGATCATCCCATAAAATCTGCATATTTGGTCTCTGGTGAGCAGGTTCACAGATGGAGTGGAAGAGCTAATTTTATTCCAGCTCCTGAAATAAAGACTAATCCCTGTCTACTAGATGTAAGTGACCAGTATTGTGATCACTATTAGAAGGACCCTGCCTCCATCCAGGTGGAGGTAGAGGACAATCAGATTTACTGGACTCTGTGGATCAGGTGGCTTGGCACATCAGTCCCACAGAAGTATAAGGCTCTAGTAGATACCGGTGCACAACGTACCCTGATGCCATTGAGCTGTCAAGGGGTGGAACCCATCTATATTTCTGGAGTGACAGGAGGATCCCAAGAATTAACTGTACTGGAGGCTGAAATCAGCCTGACTGGGAGGAAGTGGCAAAAACACCTCATTGTGACTGGTCCAGAGGCTCCACGCATCCTTGGCATAGACTACCTCAGGAGAGGGTACTTCAGAGAACCAAAAGGGTACCGATGGGCTTTTGGTATTGCTGCTTTGGAGACAGAGGAAATTGAGCAGCTGTCCACCTTGCCTGGTCTCTCAGAGGATCCTTCTGTTGTGGAGTTGCTGAAGGTCAATGAACAGCAAGTGCCAGTTGCGACCACAGCAGTGCACCGGCGGCAATATTGCACCAACCGAGACTCCCTGATCCCCATCCGTAAGGTGATCCGTAGGCTGGAGATCCAAGGAGTGATCAGCAGGGCCCGCTCACCCTTTAATAGCCCCATATGGCCAGTGCGAAAGTCTAACAGAGAGTGAAGACTAACAGTAGACCATCGTGGCCTGAATGAAGTCACACCACCATTGAGTGCTGCCATACTGGACATGCTAGAAATTCAGTATGAACTGGAGTCAAAGGCAGCCAAGTGGTATGCCACAGCTGATATTGCTAATGCATTTTTCTCAATTCATTTGGCAGCAGAATGCAGGCCACGGTTCATTTTACTTGCAGGGGTGTCCAGTTTACTTGGAACTGACTGTCCCAGGGATGGAAAGAAAGCCCTACCATCTGCTATGGACTGATCCAGGCTGCACTGGAACAGAGGCAAGATCCAGGACACCTGCAGTACATTGACGACATTATCATGTGGGGTTGATACAGTGAAAAGAAGTTTTTGAGAAAGGGAGGGAAATAATCCAAATCCTGCTAAAAGCTGGTTTTGCCATAAAAAAAGAGTAAGGTCAAGGGACCTGCACAGGAGATTCAATTTTTGGGAATAAAATGGCAAGATGAATGTAGACAGATCCCCACAGATGTGATCAAGAAGATAACAGCAATGTCTCCACCAATTAATAAGAAAGAAACACAAGCTTTCTTGGGTGCTGTGGGGTTCTGGAGAATGCACATCCCAAATTACAGTTTGATTGTAAGCCTTCTCTATCATGTGAAGAATGATTTTAAATTGGGCCCTGAGCAACAACAAGCCTTTGAGCAAATTAAACGCGAGATAGTTCATGCAGTGGCCCTTGGACCAGTTCAGACCGGGACAGGTGTAAAAAATGTACTGTACACTGCAGCTGGGGAGAATGGCACTACCTGGAGCCTCTGGAAGAAAGCTCCAGGGGAGACTTGAGGTCGACCCCTCTGCTTTTGGAGCCAGGGATACAAAGGATCTGAGGCCAGCTATACCCCAACTGAGAAAGAGATACTGGCAGCCTATGAAGGGTTTTGAGCTGCTTCAGAAGTGATTGGCACAGAAGCATGGCTCCTCCTGGCACCCTGGTTGCCCATGCTGGGCTGGATGTTCAAAGGCAGGGTCTCATCTACACATCATGCAACCAATGCTACATGGAGTAAGTGGGCTGTACTAATTACACAATGAGCTTGAATAGGAAATCCCAGTCATTCAGGCATTCTAGGAGTCATCATGGACTGGCCAGAGGGCAAAGATTT